TGATCCATTGCTTGACATTTGTATCACTCCAGCTTTTGTATCTAAAGCGATTTTCCTGCTTAGACTCTTCTACAGCTTGTGGCTTGGACAACATACCTGTTATAGTCTTGCAAAAGTGTTCTCCAGAGGTGTTGTTTATACTTTCAAAACTATTCAACAAGTGCTTATTAGAGTCTTCTTTTCCAGCCTGCTGGAAAGCAGCATCTGTTATCCCTATTTTCAAAAATTCTGGAGAGCGATCAGACTTGCCTAACTACCATCCCATTAGTCTTCTTCCTATCATAAGCAAGGTTTTTGAATCTTTAATTAACAAACACTTAATCTCTCATCTTGAATCTAATAACTTATTCTTTAATCATCAATATGGATTTCGATCTTCTTGTTCTATGGCTGATTTGCTAACAGTAATACCTGATAGGTTTTATCGTGCATTAATATTTAACATCAAGTTCCCATGACACACTTTGATTAAATTTAATATATAGAACAAGATTAAAATAATGTAAGTTTTTTATTTTAGAGATTCCCATTAGAACTATAAATTTAATGTCAATTATAAGTTTAATTATATAATATTCTATATATTATATAATTAAACTCAATAACCTGTTTCTCAAACAGAACACCCAGTGTCTTAATTATAAATATAATACCTTAAATAAATTTCACAATGAAGATAACTAATTTATTAAGCCTTGCTCTTTAAACATTTTATTTTGATAAGGTTGGTATTAAAAATGGACATAAATATCTTGAGAGTCTTTTAAAAAAAGAGTCTTGAATACCTGAGAGAGTTAAATGAGTTCCATAATGATCATGAGGAAGAATCAGTCTTGCCTCCAAGTCTTTAATATACAAACACTCCTAGTTTTTTTAATCTGCATATTTTATTTATTTTTGACAATTTTTATTAGTCAAATAAGCGTTGTTATGAGATTTTATAATCAAATTTAAATCTTAATCAAATAGGTGTTGTTATGAGATTTTATAATCAAATTTAAATGACTGTAATGATCGCTATACAAACAATTCGCTTTGGAAAACTATTTGTAATACTCTCATTAGACAATCATAAATGATAGCAAAACTACTTTAACTATGAAAAATTCTATAGTGACACCTTTTTCTGATAACCCTCACCCCCTTTTCCTTTTAATCCTGATGCCCTCCCCACCCCCTCTTTTGCATGACACACTTTATAGGTGGCCCCTAAGCAAATATACTAGTGGTAGAGACAAATAGTTCATTCATTTTCAATTATTTTAATTCCAGAAGAACTTTTTTTTTGCACCTTCTTTTACATCATTGAAACTTAAAAGTTTTCTAATATCTATGGTCTTTATATTTGTTTGTTTTATAGCAAATAGCTTTCTTTTTGAAACCAATTGAACACTTTTCTTTATCATTTATATTGGTTTATATTTTTCATTAAAAAAAGTAACTTTAAAATAATACTTGAAAACACTCAAGTAGACAACTCTTTAGTTTTCAAACATAAACTTTTTATAAAATAAAGGTAATCTTGGAAGTAAAACGCAAGTTTTACTTCCAAGATTACCTTTAAGATTTTTTAATCTAAGATACTTGAAATCTACAAAACTGTATCAAAGATACTTGAAATCTACAAAACTGTATCTAAGATACTTGAAATCTACAAAACTGTATCTAAGATACTTGAAATCTACAAAACTGTATCTAAGATACTTGAAATCTACAAAACTGCATCTAAGATACTTGAAATCTACAAAACTGCATCTAAGATACTTGAAATCAACAAAACTGTATCTAAGATACTTGAAATCTACAAAACTGTATCTAAGATACTTGAAATCTACAAAACTGCATCTAAGATACTTGAAATCTACAAAAATGCATCTAAGATACTTGAAATCTACAAAACTGTATCTAAGATACTTGAAATCTACAAAACTGTATCTAAGATACTTGAAATCTACAAAACTGTATCTAAGATACTTAAAATCTACAAAACTGTATCTAAGATACTTGAAATCTGCAAAACTGCATCTAAGATACTTGAAATCTACAAAACTGTATCTAAGATACTTGAATTCTACAAAACTGTATCTAAGATACTTGAAATCTACAAAACTGTATCTAAGATACTTGAAATCTACAAATCTTTAAAGATTTTAAAATGCAACAAAAATAGATTTAAAAAATTCTTCATTTATCAATCTTGAGATATCTTAATCCCAGTTAAAAGTCAACAAAAACTTAACTAAATAAAAATTTTAAAATTCTTCCTACTAGTTTATTTACATACATTACCATTACTAGTATTAATATACAATGTATTTTTTATAAACAATTTATATACTAGTTTTGCAAATTTTTTATTTTTTTAGATGGTCATTGTTTGTCATGCAATTCAAATGTTTTTATTCCTCTATAACTTTATAAATATAGTTGCATTTTTAACATTTTTTTCTTTATAAATAGATAGATGCTTCAAGTAAAACATTTCCCCCTATAAATATACATATACTTCAAGTAAAACATTTTTTCTTTATAAATCGAAAGACACTTCAAGCAAAATTTTTTGAATCGCTTTAATGATAAAAACAGAAAAAAATTAGAATCACTTTCACTTGCCATTTTCATGAAAAAAATTTTTAAATACACTTATCATAGTTATTGAGTTCAAATATTAAAAAAAAAATTTTTTTGTTAACTTTTAGTTAACTTTTCCCCTTTTAATTAATCATATTTTAGTTTTTCACCATTAAAAACAATCCACATTGAAACCACCCAATTAAAACAGCGTTTAAAAATTCACCAAAATTATCCTATAGACTTTAAAAATTAAAAAAAAATCCCTTAATACATTATCAAATGTATTATTAAAAAAATGTCATTAGTCCGTGCTGGTATGATAAAAAATTGAATGTAGAAAATATCAACATAATTGCACCACCTGAATACCATCTCAATTAATACCAACCATAGCTATAATGGTGTTTGCTTTTTTTTGAGCCTTGTGACTAAATTTTCATATTTTTAAATCAATATTCACTTAAATATTGATTTAAAAACTTACCAATCCTAGTTTAATATGAAGTGGTGGTAATAAAACCTTTGTATACATAATGTCCAGTCTACATAATATAAAGAGAATGATGGAAACCAGTCTGCATAATGTTAAGATTCTTATTTATTAGTATTTTCTTTATACTTTAGTTGCTTTAGTTTTGTTCTGGTATTTTTATTAGAATTTTAATTTACTGTGCTTCGTTTTTTCTACCGGTGTGATGGTAAGTGATTTATTTAGTTATTTTTAGTTATATTGTATTTATAGATCCACACTTTTTATATCATATCATCAAAAAAATATTAGTATTTTACAAATTTGGGTATGGTTGGGTTTGGGCTATTTATAGTGAGTCTACATAATATCAAATATGTTAGTACTTGAAATACTTAGCAAGTTAATGTTAGGCTAATCAATGTAATGGTTGATAAGCCACTTTTTAAGTTTTTTAAAAGTATATAATGTTGGGGCACAAAAGAAGCCAATTTATATAAAAATCATCATTTTATAAAATAAATATTAAGAAAATTAGTGGAGGAGGAAAACTTTTTTTTGCATTATATACAATCATTCATTAAAAGGATAATTTTTGCAAAAATCACTGCATTTAAAGAGCAAAAGCTCAATCCTATACTTTTTTTCAACTTACATTAACAATCTCCCAGAAATTCTAACATCAAAGGTGGCATTGTTCGCTGATGATACAACCATTTATCCTTGTCTTGATAAGAAGCCAATGCTCCTTGATTGCTTTAAGAATACATTTGAGCTTGAAAAGGATCTCACTTCTGCTACAGCATGGGTCTCACAGTGGCTGGTGAACTTTAACTTAGATAAAACTTAGCTGATCATTATCACAATAATCTAAATCTACCCTTCATCTCCTTTGATTAACTCTGTACTTCTGAACTTTCTAGGAAACGATATACCAAATCAATCGGAAAATTAGCATTTGCTAAGGTTGCATCTTTTTATTGTGCTAACCACTTCCTTACTCCAGATTCAATCCTTTATCTCTATAAATCTCAAATCTATCCTTGTATGGAATACTGTTGCCATATCTGGGGTGGATATTCTAATGATGCCCTTTTTCTTTTAGACAAGGTGCAAAAACAATTTTAAACATTGTTGGATCTGCTCTTGCAGCCAACCTCCAACCATTACCATATCATCATAATGTTGCTTTTAATTAATGTTACTCTTCTTATATCAATACTACAATGGGCAATACTCTAAAGACTCAGCGTCTCTTGTGCCAAAATTCATTCTCATGTTGTTTGCCATTTAATTAAGTCTCATCTTTTTCCTGTGACTGTTCTTAAGTGCTCTAAAAACTAATATTTGTCCAGTTTTTTTCCTCGAACATTATTTCTTTGGAATTTGCTACCTTCACCTTATTTTTCTGATTCATATAATTTACAATTTATTAAGTCGTCTGTTAATTGTTATCTTGCTCTATAAAGTTAATCTTTTCTTTTCCAGTAACTTCCGATTCTAATAATGGTTGCTTGCAGCCTTGTTGGAATGCCCTTGTGAAATACCCTTAAAAAAATGAAATACCCTTAAAAACACACACAGTACCACCTTGATTATGGAAAATAAATTTGAAAAAAAAATTTGCTTTTTCTTAAATAGGATCATAATCTAAAAATAGATTTCAAATTTTCTCAAAAATTGATATTAAAAAATTATGTCCATATCATGTTTATAGCCTTATTATTTTTTGAAAACTTTTCAGTTTTAAAAGGAATCCCAAAACAAAAACAAAAAAAATGCAGCCTTTAATCTATTTATATCCAGGCCAAACTTATGGAAAAGGTAGTTTAAAACAAATGAAAACATCATCAATATACAACAACAACAGACCTTTATATTCTTATCTGTTTTCATATCAATTCAAAGAATTGTGCAAAAAAAAAAATTAATGAAAATAGAAAAAAGCTGAAATTACCTGCTCTTCTGGATCATCATAAGGAATGACATGTATTATTTCTCCTTTTTCAAAAGACAGTTCATCTTCGTCTTCTGGTGAGTATTTGTGAGTTGATATAACCTATAATCAATTTATATTAGGATTGATTTAGTAAATTTTATATTTTTAATGAAGATTTGGGATCGTCCATAAATTACACAACACAATAAATATTTTAAGAACAGGAGTAGGAGATATTAGGCTCTTTTACGCGGCGATTTTCATTTAACTTAATTTCTATTTAGATTGTTTATTTAAATTAAGACTCTGCGAGGGAAAACTTTTGATCTTTTTTTGTTTTGTTTTTTGTGAAATTTTGCGTTACGTAATTTATGGACGATCCCTTTACAAGTTTTTTGATTTTTAAAATTAACAGTTTTTGTTTTGTTAACAGGTTTTAAATTTTATAAATAAAAACCTTGTATAAAGCTTTTGGGACAATAAGATTACAGTGATTGGTTACATTAGGGTTGTCAGATATGTTTACATTTCTATAAGCAATAACATCATTATCAGCTGCAATAACATCAGTATCAGTTGCGATTGAAAGATTGTCTTTATTTTTATGGTCTAAAACTTGTGTTTCTTCATTTGATGAATTTGTTGTTTTAGATTCAACATTCTGAAAAACATCATTCTAGATAAATTTTAAATATTTTTAATTTTATATGTCAAATTTAAGACATTTAAAAAAGTAATAAAAACCGGATAGGTTAGTTAGCCATAGAACATTAAAATATTGTGTTAAATTTTTAAAAGAAAGTTATTTAATGCATTTTTACATTTTTTTTACATAGTTTCAGTTACAAACAGTAATAAACTGACAAAACGTAACTAATAACGATGACATAAAAACGATTATCGGTAAAAGAATACAAAGACTCGATAAATATAATAATCTTAGTTTTTATAATATAATAACAAAAATGTATTGTAAGTATAATAAACAAATAATGAAAATATAAACAGAAAAACACTTGTTATACATAAAACTAACGTTAATAAAAGTAAAAAATGCATTATATGATAATATTCTCTATGGATTAAATAGATTTAAAAAAATTTATAGCATATTTTTAAAATGTAACCTGGTCAACAGAATGATGAATAGCAGAACTTGAAGGAGGTTTGGGTCTTAGAGGTGGAGTGCTTGGGCGTATAGGTGGAATTGGTGCTGGCCTAACAGGTTGCGTTGGTAACGATGTATTCTTATCAAGTGTACGAATGGATTCCTCTAATTCAAAATCGTTTTTATTTTTCGAAATTTTTAATTCATTTGGTGATTCAACACCGCCATCCAACTCATCAGAAGGCACTGCTACATCATAGAATTGTGTTAAACTAGTTGACTTTAAATCATTATCTTCTTTTTCACTGGTGTTTGATGATGTTTCTCTTATAAAAGTAGAAATATATATATATATATATATATATATATATATATATATATATATATATATATATATATATATATATATTTATATATAGAAGACAGGGCAAAATAGCAAACATTTTGAAAGTCATGAAGCAATAATACTTTGTCATTATGCTTATGTTATCATAATGATTTATTGCCAGCATGAATTTTTAGTTTGCAAGTAGAAATATTTAAAATAAAATATAAAATAGAATGAATTTGTCATCTGGTCAAGTGACCAAGGTAAAACGATTTATTATGCTATTTCTGTTTCGAATTTTGAACTTTTTTGTTGTTGAGTTGTTTTATGAAAAGCCATCTTGCCCTGTTTTCCCCTATATATAACTTTAACTAAAAAGGAAAAATAAAAATTACTAATAAAACAAAAGGGACATAACAAAACTTTATTTTATTTTAAAAACTAAATTTAAAACAATAAAGACAAGAAAAGCTCAAAAAAATATTTTTTGCATATAAAAACATCTTAAACAAGTTTTAATATACAAAATCAACTAAAGCAAAATTTTTTGCTAAACAAAATTTTTTTTCTTTTAATAAACAAAAAAAAACATCAAATTTTGGAGATGAATCATGTAATTTTCAAATTTTTATTCAAATTGATTAAGGTAACTTTACTTTGACATGTGCTAAATTAAATGTTTTTACCCATCACCTGTTGACATTGTTTAAATTATTCAAATTTTCATGAGTCATATAATTTTCAAATTTTCATGAATCATGTAATTTTCAAATTTTTTTGAAAATTACATGATGCTGCAGCTAGATGTTAAATGAACAAAAATAACTATTTTTATCTGCATAATAGCAAGTATAAATAACAACACAATACCGTGGGCATAAATTAAACTAATTTCTAGTTTGCTGAAAAACTTTAATTAAAAGATAAGTAAAACTATCATTTAACGTTTTTATGTTGTTTATAAAGACTTAGCGTTTAAGTTTTTTAGGAGCATTTTTTTTAAAAGACAAATTCAAAAAGGGAAATTAAAAAAAAAAAAAATTTAGTTTCGGAGTAAAATTAACAGGAATGATTTAGTCATTCCATAGACCAAGAATCAAGCAAAGGTTGCTAGAATGTCTTATATCTGATGAATCTTTAATGATTACGTGAAATGGAATCAAACAAAGGAAACTATAAATTAGAAGAGTTAATCTAAAAAAAAAATAAAATGTACCAACTTATGAAATATCAACAAATCTAAAAACCAATACTTCCAGAAAGTTAAAATCTACACCTAATAATGTTGCATAATACTGGTAATAACAAAACATCACAACATGAAAATGAAAAAAACTGACTTATTTTTTCAGAAATCAAACCAAACGCCAAAAAGGTTGTCACAAAGAAATCCAGCAAAAAATCATGTAGCGCAATTTCGTTGAAAAAAATTTTTTGAAAAAAAAATTTTCAACTGTAAATTAAAATACTTTTTATATCTTTAAGTAGACACTATCAGAACTGAAGCTAATAAATCTTTAAAGTAATAATATTTTATTTTGATTTTAAATTTTTTTAAAGCTGCTAATTTTTAAAACGAAAATGTAAGCTGGTGCTAGTATATATTTAAAAAGTTTTCTCTGTTTTGTTTGTCAAAGCTACAATGATAATTTCACATGTCCCAATGTAAATTAATATCAACAACACAAAATATACCTATGTCAATGTTACTACATATAGAGGGTAACATTAGTAGTTGCAGGCCAACAAAAAAATCAATTATTTATCAATATTATCTTTCAATAATATTAATTACATATAATTTAATCATGTTTATTATATAAATTATAATAAACATGATTAATTAAATTTTTTATCAGTTTATGGCAGTAATACCATTGGTACAATGACACGTACAAATATATCACATTTAAATAATTTTTTCACTTCAAGAGAAAAAATATATTTTCTAAAGATGTGTTAATGTTACACTGCTTTAACTAAAATATCAAAAAGTATACATAAATATTTTAGAATTAAAAAATTTCAGAACCATAATTTCAATTAGAAATAAACTTTTAAAATATTGATCAAACTAGGTCTAAACCAAATCAACAGTCAGAACCATATCAATAATTTTGTAATTTATATTTTCACTTAGTAAGTTTAGTAAAAAAAAGTAGCAGCAGATAAATGTCGCAACAAAAAAATTCTTTCTAATGTCAAAATAGCTATGATTATTTTTTAGATACAACAGTAGCTTAGTAAACTTAATCATTTTAAAATATATTTTCAAAGTGAGTGACTTGAAAAATAATGGCCTTGGTTTCAGTTCGCCCTAGTTTCAACTAACTTAAAACAAGTCATGTAGCTTAAAAGAAATTATTATTTCAACTCAATTATTATTTAAAAAATTATTATTTCAATTAAAAATTATTGTAATAAAATTCTTTTTCTCTTGTGACTCTTAAAAACAAAATAACACCATATTTCATAATGTTTTAAAAAAAGTTTTAACTTCTTGTTTTAATTTTCAAACAAGTATAAAAACATAAAACACAGCTACTATTTTTTGTATTTTTTTATTATTTATATATTATTTATATATTTTGTAATATTAAAAAAATTTAAAAGAAAAATACAAAAATCTTAACAAACTAATTAAAAAAAAAAAAGTTGTATAAAGAAAAAAAAAAAATAATAATAATAATAATTTAACTAGGAGTTTCAAATCTTACCCAAAGCCAGTTAGACTCTTCTACAGTTGAACTATATAATTTAGGACCAAATTTTGCACTGTATAAAAAAGTACCTTTAATGGAAGTGTTAACCCCATCAAGTCTTTAGCCTTAAATTTAGAAAAATAGTCAATCCTACTTTTGTATTAAAGTCCATTTAGAATTATATCAAGTTTCTTTGTTATTATAAGTTTATGTAGATGGCAGCCAAAATTTGAATCACTAGAAAAACACAATAACTATCTTGAATTATTAAATCAACAAGATTCCACATTGAGAATAAAAAACAGAAGGAATCTTAAAAACAAAAACAATTCTGTCAGTTGCAATAAATTGATGATTGCACAACAATGAAACTCCCATGGCTAGTGGAGCTATTTTAAAAACCATTCTATGCAAAATCATGTGGTGGCATTTATATCAGAGAAACCAAGGAGACAATTTTTAAAAGAAGTTTTGAACACCGAAATCAAAAAGTATGGAAAACAATTGGCATGCTTCAGGAGCCACAGAACACTGCAAGAACTGTCATAAATTATTTAATTGGATGCACCTAAAACAATCATTATTTCTAACTTTCATAAGAGAAAAATAAGAGAACCCCTTAAAGTTGAATGGAATTATGAGATAGATAGAATCAGCTTCCTGTTGCTTTTGAACTAGGAAAGTGATGTTAGATAATAGCTTATAATATTTTAACGATTAAAAAAAATCAAAAAAGCATCAAATAGTTTTTGTTTCAGTATTCTTTATGATTTTTAAATACAGTTATATATATATATATATATATATATATATATATATATATATATATATATATATATATATATATATATGATTATATATATATATATATATATATATATATATATATATATATATATATATATATATATATATATATATATATATATATATATATATATATATATATATATATATATATATATAGTTTAGTTTAATACCATGGTCAATAATATTAAATAACTACCTGTAACAATTTTTCAAGTTTTAGAAAATAAAAAAAAAACAATGTTTGCTACTTTTTGTTTAAAAACTATCAATGAAGATGTGTTGTATCAAGCACCTCTGTACTAACAGTCTTCGGTACTCGTGCACATCTGTCACGCAAGTAGCATGCCATAAAAATATATCTATTAGATCAGTTCAAAAAAAAATCTATTTTAATAATTAAGTGGCTAGGTGTTTAAATGTTGTTAATTGATGAAAAAAATAAATCCTTAAAATTTTAAAGCATTATTCCAATATTTAGTAACAGCTCAATTAACTTTACTTTTCAACGGGGACCTAATACTAAAAAAAAAAGTTCTTTAAAAGTCAACCTGGTAATCAAAAGAAGCAAAATAATATATAATTTCAAAAATAAATTGTTTTATAAAAAAAAAATTAGAAATTTTTTTTTTATTATTAAAAACTTGTAAAAAAGCACTTTTTTTATTTCTAGTTAAAAATCCATAGTTTTTATGCAACTAAATCTAAAATAATAATTGTAGTATGAAATGATCATTTTTTTTGAAATTTTTATTAATTTCACTACTTTTAAAACCCAACATGACATACTTTTGGAATTTTTTTTTTTTTTAAATAGTATGGACCTGTTTAAAAGTATAGTTAAAAATAGTTATAAAACAAATTATTTATAATTGCAATTTTGAACTAATTTTCCTGACCATATATATATATATATATATATATATATATATATATATATATATATATATATATATATATATATATATATATATATTTATTACAAAAATACAAAAATAGTACAAAGCTGTGTTTTATATTTTTTTACTTTATTTAAGAGTAAAAAAGAATCCAGAAAATCTAGAAACTCAAAATAGTAACTCAAAGCTTATGAAAGTATTTTAGAAATTAAAAACCACGTCAGCTTGCAATAATTTCAAAAACTGGTTAATGGTTCTGAAGCTGGTAGTAAAGACTCTGTAAAAGCTTTCAAAGAGGCAGATTCTATTAACATCAGTAAAATATTAGATAATCAACAGTGCCATATTGCACATGCTGTCCCTGTTCAACCATATTGTCTTTAACAATTTAAGTCCAAAAATATTAAAAATTTAAAAATTTCAAACAAATTGTTTAAAATTTTTTACTTGCTTAATCTTACTTGTGCAAAATTTAAAAGGTTTACTTTTTGAGAAATTTAATTTAAATTCTTTCATCTTTAGATACCAGTGTTGATGGTTGTTATCCATTGAAAGGACTTCAATTAATGTGCCACTTTTCACTTGATTATCATACTTTTTTGTTCTTTCACGTTATCAATCTTGCATAATTTGTCATTAAGCCAAGTTGCAGGTTTTTACTGTAACTGTTCCTACATGCTCAAAAAACTTTTTTTTTTTGATTAAACAACAATATTAAAGTTTAGAGAAAATTCCAAAGCAATGTCACCCAACTTCAAAAACACATTCCAACTCACAGTTTTCAAGGTCTACTGTCAATTGACAATCTACTGCCAATTGACAATCTAATGTCAATTGACAGTAGAAAAATTAGACCGAAAAATAAGAAACAGACTGTCAATTGTTTCTTATTCTTTAACTCACTTTTTACTTTCTAGGAAAAATCTTTAATTTCTAGGAATCTAACATAATTCTTTCTAACATAAATAATGGTTGCTTGCAGACTTCTGGAAAGTCAATTTGTTCATTTTGTATCAAGATAGAAACAGGACAAATAAAAAAAATAAGAAAAGATAAAATTTTTAAAAAATTTTTCAATTTTCTTTATTAAAAAAAGAAAAAATTATAAAATTTTCCTTACATCCCTGAGCAAAATGGTTTACGTGTACTGAAAGTTCCAGCAGAAAAATCAGTGATAAGTTGGTCCATCAAATCATTAAGTTCGTGTTTTAGCTTTAAAAAAAAATCTACAAATAGTTATTAACTGATTAAAAAAAAACTCATCAAAAATTGTTTCAAAAAAGATAAATACACACCCTAGCTGCTTCTCTGTGAAAAACCTCTTCTAAGGTAAAAATACTTTGAAAACTGGTTGCATAAAAACCAATTCGACTGCACCAATTCATAAAAAATAAAAAAAATTTGGCTTTACTAATGTATTTAAAATAACAATAGGAATTATTCTATTCTTACAATAACTATGGTTTGCATATGTACATGAATTTTGATTTATGAATCATTATTTATTTGTTTAACTATTATTATTATTTATTTCTTTATACATTGTTTGCTATTTGTCATGTTATGCTTTGGTCATAAGTCATTGAAATTAAACATATAAAATTTGCAACAGTAATAGTGTAGCACTTTTTTGCAATATTTAAATTTTATTAAAATAAATAGAAAACAGAATGCATAATCAATTTAACACAGGTTATAGCAATAATGTTGCTATTGGAAACTAACAAATACACCTCAGATTTTTGCGTGAGGTACCATGGTCAAACCCAAAAAATGTTCTAACAGCAATAGCAAAAGTTTGAGAATAAGAAAAGATTACAATATTTTCTCAAAAACAACATATTTATTAGTTTAACTTATTTTAACATTATTTATTGCAGTAATGTATCTTAATATTAAAGAGAAAACCATTCAAAATTCTTCAAGCCTAAAATTTTCCTGATTTTCTCAAACTGTTTTGTTTTATTTTCAACAGTTATTTTAATTTAACAGAGATTGTTAAAAGATTATTTAAAAGAGATTAAAAATAAATTGTTTAAGAGAGTGATAATTTAAGACTATTTTCAGGATTTTGAAAATTGGTTATCTGTCCAGGATATTTTATTTTAAAGTATTCTTGACAGATAAATATTTTAGTTTATAAACATATTCATTAATTTCTATGCCATTTCTGAGAAATGAAATGTGCTTTTTAGTCATACCCCTAATGCTCATATGTTTGTGGTGAACTCAAAACTACATGACAATTTTCTGTTAAATTAAAATAACTGTTGAAAATAAAACAAAACAGTTGAAATAAAATTATAAGCTCATAACTGCTTAATAATGCATAACCTCAAATAACTGCAAATACCTGTCATAAAGTGCGGGTAGTTCATCATATAGTTCTGATGTCAAATCAATAAATATTTCTTTGGCTTTTTGATAATCTTCTTCGGCCTTTAAAAAAAGATTTTGAACTGTTGCAAGATTAGTCAGAAAAATTTTTAAGTAGAAAATTTTTATTTAAAAAACAAAAAAATCCTTTCTTTTGATATCATGTCAAAAAAGTATTCCCAGTAAAAACCCAAAATTTTAGATCATATATATCCATCATTTTAGATACTTATATTTTAATAAAAATATAAGTATCTAAAAGTAAAAGTAAAAACCCAAAACTTTAATACATGAATACTTCCGTTATCAACAAATTTCAATTTTAAATTTCATTTAAAATTCTTAGCTATAAACATTTATATTAACCACTATAATTGTGATAAATTGAACACTAATACAAATAAATTTTAATTTTCTTTTTAATTTTTATTAAGAGAAAAAGACATAAGCACAAGATATACATAAAGCACAAATATTTCTTATAAAAAATTTTAATGAAAAAATCGCTTTAACTAAAGCATCAACCAAAACATGCAGACCACAATGCTAGATTACAGCAGGGCTATTAAATCATCAGTTTTAGAATGCCAACCATTGTTACATCACCAAGAGATTGTATGCTCATTAGGGGTATGACTAAAAAGCACATTTCAATTTTTTGGAAATAGCATAGGGGCAAAAAATGAACTTTTACTTGTATTAACATAAAATAATACTTTTTTCCAAATTCAAAAAAAAACTCTCCCACCAGTGCAGATAAAAATTTGGTCCTAGCAGTCCTAAAAAATAAAAAATTCAAATTTTTGCATTTATAGTAGAGGCAGGGTCACCTAAAAATATTCCCAAAGCTCCTTTTTATAATAATGCCCTAAAGTGGATTTAAAGAATGTATTATAGCCATTCTAAAAAACTCTACAAAAATTTTTTTTAATGAAAGTAAAGCTAATTCCACTGAGTTTTCTAAATTTGTGTCGAGTATTAAAAAGAAGGGTTTAAATCCTGTTCTTTCGTGAAAAGTTTTACATCAGGCTGAAACCTGGTGGTAAATTGTGTAACTTATGTTTGATGGAGAAATATCATATAATTTCATCATGGTTGCATTTGTTAAACAAACAAAATGAAAGTGCGTCTAAGTGTCATCATGAGAATAAGTACATGACCAATAACTTAAATGCCATTAAAAAGGTACTCCATAGTATTTTTAATATATTTTTTTTCGTAATTTTTAAGATTTGTAACATCTGATGATCGCAAGTTTGTGTGAAACTCCAAGTTATATTTGAAATAATTTGAGTGTTATAGTTATTTAGTTTTTACATTATATTGCTCTACTTTGGTATTGAGCACTCTTTACTAAGAAATATTCATATAATTACTACAACATTATTGCAATAATATTAGGACATAAACTACTGATTTGTGGCCGTAGGAGATTGTATGTTAATAACGAACTCCCTGTGACAGAAATCTGGCATGGTGTGAAGCCATCAGAAATTTTAACTTAATCTTATCTTAACTTGTTTTTAATTGTTTCTGCCTTTCCTTCTTAAAATACTTTCTTTAGAAATGGAATAACTGTCAATGCTTCACAAACTGCTATTTACAACAGAAATTTTGCACTCAGCATAGCCACACCCATTCCAACTTGTAATTCAGTTGGAGCTAAACTGTTCTCAAAACTTTTAATTAAAATAAGAACATCAGAAATTTAAATTTTTTAAATGGCTGGAGATACTATCTGATTATCTTCATTATTGTAAGTATCTAAACATTTTATTGTCTTCTCAAATTTTTCACTAAACAACCTTAGTTTCTTAATGGAATCTTATAACCTTTGAGTTTGTTTTTTTTTAATTTGCAAAACTTTTTTTGCGCAACATTTTTTGAACCTTTTCTGATCATTAAGAAAATTAACATCTTGTCTATTTTTTAAAATTTTTGTTTTATCTTTCGAGATGATACCTTTTTTAAATTTTCAACAAATACATCCTCCTTTTTTAAAAACCTAGTTTTTAAAATAGTTTTGTTTTTGTTTAAATTCTTTCTACTCCTTTTTTAGTCAAAAATCTTGTCTCTAAATGGCAAATCAAAAGTAAAAGAATTCATTAAAATAACTATATAAAATTTTTTTATCTATAACTAGGTAAAAAAATTTATATATTGATATTTTTATCATGAAAATATATTACTATATAACTAAACCAATTTAAATTTGTACTGAATTGTAAATTTATAAGCATTTTACTATAATATGGTAAACATCTAATATGTTAGTATTTTCTTGACATGGTAACACATGGTAAATTTTTTTACCATTAGACAACAATACTATTTCAATACATTAAGCGTTAAAATAGACATGAAGCTATATTACTTGTAGAAATGTTTTGAAAATTAACAAATAGCATAACCTCTGTAATACAGTTTTCTTAATAAGCAATTGTGTTACGGGTTATATATTATGTGTTAATTTCAATCCTTTTTCCAACATGAAAAACTTCACAATGAGATATTTTTTGCAAAAATTGTTTGTTCACATTTTTATTTACATAAAAAAAAAACTTAATTTAGAAATTTCACAAAATTATTTTTTGATTACTCCTCCCCTCCCCCACCTTCAACTTCTGAAAAATTTACATCATGACTTCAAATGGGTAGGACAAACCATTATCATCATAATTACTAAAAAAAAACAAAAAAAACAATCTAAAATCATATAGATCAAGGTAGAAAAATAACTCAAAGTATTTTTGAAATATTTGCAAGTGATCCTGCCTACCATAAATGCAAAATTTTAAATTTTTTTGTGTTTTTAGACTGCTGGAACCAAATTTTCATTTGCACTGGTGGGGGAATTTTTTATTTGAAAAAAGTAATAATATTTTTTGTTAAAACAAGTAAAAGTTCATCTTTGCCACTATGCCATTTCTGAGAAATGAAATGTGTTTCTTAGTCATACCCCTAACGCTCATATGTTTGTAGTGAACCCAAAACTACATGAAAAATTTGCAGACTAGAAACAATAAATGGTTCAACAACTACAAAAAAAAAGTATTTGCTCAACATAAAATTATTAAACAATTAAATATCAAATCACAGACTAGTTTTAAACTTCCAGAGATTTTTTACAGTAAAAAAAAAAAAAATGATTCATAATTTTGATTATCACACAAAGGTATCAACTTGATGAAAACTAAAGAGATGAGCAAGAAGTAAAAACAAAAGAGATGAGCAAAAAGTAATAACAAAAAAGATAAGCAAAAAATAAAAACAAATTTTTTAAAGATTATTGGAAAGTGAGTGCTACTACAATTATTAAAAAATGACCATCACATGACCTCAAATGTTTAAAAAGTGTACAATACCTCTTGCATGAACTATCACACTGAAGTATCACACTGAAGTATCATTTAAAAGATTTGGCATATAAAATTCGTTGAATGGTCACACACGAGCAGTGAAGGCCTGAGGGAAGAAATGAAGTACATTAATATAAAGGAGAATTATTTATTGAACAAAGCATATTATGACAGTTGTCAAGAACAAAATAAAGATTAATAGAGAAATATTTAAAAATAAATAAGACAGTCTATACACCCAAAACAGTACTCAACAACAATAACAATAAAAAAAAAAAATTGTTTTATAAACACCAATATGAGCGAAGATATACAACAAATACATCAGCAGACAAAAAACTTATAAAACAAAAAACCGATCACAAAAAAAAAAAAAATGTTAACAACAATGAAAGGCCTCAGAATGGAAAAAAAAAACATTAACGCTAATGTATAAACATAATTTGTGTAGTAATTAAGTAATAAACATTCGATGAGGATCAGCATTTATAACTAGTTTATCCCGTCAGACAAACGTCATCGCAACTATGCTTTACCCCGCAACTTACACTTATTCCATACTGCAGTAAAAAAGGACTCACTACAAATAGACAAAACCCAACCAACCCCAAATTTGTAAAGCACCAATATTTTTTTGATGATATGATATAAAAAGTATAGATCTACTGAACAAACAAAAATAAAAATAACTAAGTAAAACACTTACCATATCACCAAAAAAAAACATGAAAACAAAATAAATTAAAATTCTAATAGAAACATAAAAATATTAATAAATTTATTTTAAGAAATAAAACCAAATAGGTATTATTAGAATAAACAAGCCCGAGATAATCAGAAAGCAGTATACCTCATTAAAAATAATAATTTTTAATCAACAAAACAACAATAGCCTTAAATAAACTCTGTCATAGATACATCTTTTGAAATATGATAACCAATCAAAAGTGTAGGAAAATGAGCAACCCGCGAAACCCAAAATCATAACAATAATTGAATAATATATGATAGCGAAAAAGAACATTGCACAAAAAACTTTAAAAATGTAAGCGGGATATATGTAAACATTTAATGAAGGATATAAAAATATTCTCTGAATAATAATAAAGATGAAAATTGTGTATGTGAAAACTAAAACAAAGCTGAGTTAATGAATGCAAGATAATATAACATAAAAGTTCCTTGTTAACAGTAATAATATGAAAATCAGCAGATAAATAATATATTAATAAATATTGCAATAAGACTAACTAAATATTGTAGTAAAACCAGATAAATTTAAGCCAAAAGAGTGGTTAAAAAATTAGTTGTGGGTAATATAGCAATGATATAAGTCGTGATACAAAAACGATGTACGAAACGGGAAAAAAATTGTAAAGAAGTGAAATTTTCTCTACGGTCCAAACTAAAAGAAACTTTGAGACCATATCTAAATCGAAATTTCTGAAAAACAAAGTTTTCTCTACGGTCCAAATTAAATGTAATTTTGAGACCATAACAAAATAACAAGGAAAAACATACATCATCAAAACATGTCAAAAGCCACTAGTTTATAAGAATCGCTCTTCTTCTTCAAACAAAGATAGTTTATCTATGAAAGAAAAAAAAGCATGCAAATGATGTAAACAGACTGTATGTGCATAAGAGTGTATAGGTGTAATGGGTAAGTCTGTGCTGTAAATGTCGTTCAGTAGAGTCTTGTATTGTTAGTAACCAGCATAAAAGATTTGTCTCTGAACTAAACCAAGCCAGCCCAGCCATACTCCAGGAAACCATGATGGATTAAACACCTATGCATGAATTTATAACTGACTTATGACTAAAAAGCTAGCCCAGGCATCTTCCAGAGACAAACATCCTCTTTTGCAGTGACAGTAATTGCGATTAGGAAAATAGTTGTGCTCGATGACCGTAACACTAACCCTTAAGGGCTAGGCCCAATATTATTTAAAAACTTTGGCATATAAAACTCGCCAAATGGTCACACACGAGCAGTGAACCCCTGGGAAGGGAAGAAATGAAGTACATTAGAATAAAGGAGAATTATTTATTGAACAAAGCATATTTTGACAGTTGTCAAGACAAAAATAAAGATTAATAGAGGAATGCTTGAAAATAAATAACAGTCTATACACCCAAAACAGTACTCTACAACAATAACAAAAAAAAAAAAAAAAAAAAATTGTTTTATAAACACCAATATGAACGAAAATATACAACAAATACATCACCAGACAAAAAACTTATAAAACAAAAAACCGATCACATAATAAAAAGTATGCTAACAACAATGGAAGGCCTCAGAATGGAAAAAAAAACAAATAAATTAATCCTAATGTGTAAACATAATTTGTGTAGTGATTAAGTAATAAACATCTCCTCAGTCGCGTCACTCATACACATCCACACATCCATTATTACACTGATTTACAAATGTTTAAAAAGTGTGCAATACCTCTTGCATGAACTATCAATCATGAACTGATTTACAAAAACTAAATAGGTACAAGTAACAGATTTGAAGAAAAAAATTTAATGTCTGATGTTTGATGACCATTCTTGAAAAAGGAAATAAACTAATGGCATCAAATCACAGACTAATCAGTAGTTTAAAAAACTATGAAATGTTTTATATATAGTTTTTTCACAACACACAACCTTAATGCTCAACAATGTTTTCTAATATTGTTCAACTTATGAACAACATTTGTTCACAAATGAGGTAACAGTTTTTGTTCATAAATTACAAATCTTCTCAACAAACACTGGACATAATAACACAGGCAATGAACCTGCTGATGTTATGTATACCAACTGTGCCATTTGTCAAAGCCAAATCTCAAAACCTCAAATGATAAACTTCAAACCTTATAGATAATTGCTACTCAATCTATGCCTATATGGCATATATGAAACTATTAAAATAAATTGATTAATAATTAATTAGTAGATAACAAAGAGTTATATTAGAGATTATCATCATAATGGGTCCCAGTAGCTATTAATGTACCACAGGGCTGAGTTCTTGCTTCTCTACTGATTATAATGTCTATTAACAATTTGCCAGGCATAATAATATAACACACACTAAACTTGTAAAAGAATCAACATTCAAACAGCACTAAATAATATATAGCACACATTTATAAACATTTATAAACAATAAATAGCACACATTTATAAACAGGGTACATTGGTTTCAAATGATTTAATATTTACTCAGATCAAAACAGTAGTATTAACACCAAATCAAGTTTTGTTGGAGCCTTTCATAGCAACCAATGAGTTGTATGGAAAATAATTTGCAGTTATAGCTTGGTCTCCTTACCTAAGAAAAGATGCTGAGATAATAGAATTAAAAAACAAGTAATACAGTCTGAGGCAAAATATCTACAGCAGAATTAAAGATTGTAAAAACTGAACCTTACTGCATAAAGAAAAAGAAATAACCTGACAACAGTAAAAAGCTATAAAACCACATTGATAAGAATCATGTTTTATGTCCTGTAAATTCAACCAGATTTTAGAGAAATCTTCAAGGACACATTTAACAACTTTTATCTCAATTAGTAAAAAGAGGAACTGAACATGAAATTATTTCACTAATAGTCATAGGTTGAAATCCTAAGAGCAAGCAATAATTAAGCAAAATCAATAATTACTTTTAAAAAGTTTGTCTCATTCAGCTTGTGTCATTCAGCTTGTCTCATTTAGCTTGTCTCACATTGTTTGTAGCGCACTTGTGTCAACATAGAGAAGCTTGATGTCACTCAATTCAGAGGTCAAATTCTAGATTTACCTTTCTATAGAGCACAACTTTAGGGATAAAATATAATATTTAAAAATCTGAAAATAAAGCTTTGTTTATTTTAATACAAAATTTACTTTCAAATTTGACTGCATATATGAATATGCGGTTTTCATAATAAGTTCATTTTATTACAAAATAAAAGTTAAAAAAAAGATAAAAATTGATAATTGTGTTCTTAGAGATTTTGTAGAATCTGGTTGAACTTGAGAGGTCAGTAGTAAAATCTGAAAAAATGTAAAGGAAACTTAGTCAGTATGCTTCCATTTTGGAACATGCTAGCTCCAAAAAACTCATGCAGAATTTTTCTAAAAAGGCCCAAATATGCAAGATTTTACCTTATATCTTTGATTTGAAGATCCATAAATATAAAAACACAACTACATTTTATAAAAGCATTTAGCTACATGCCATGATTAAATGGTATGTAACTACATATATTGTAAATTAAATAGCAACACATTTTGTTATAAAAATAATATCATTGACATTATTGCCTAAAAAAAGAGTAATGATAGATTTCAAATGAAGTTTGAATGATACGGAGAACGTAGAATAACCAATGAATAACTTTTGATGGTGTAAAAAAAATAATGGATAACTTTTATCGCACTTCGTATAATTATTAAAAAAACATTGATTACACTGTTGATACCATTTTTTTGAAACATTTTAAAAGCACGAATCAGATTTTTTTTTGTTAAAATAATGTTCATGCTTTGAAAAAAATTTTATTAAAACTTTTTGCATGGTCATTTGGAACTTTGATTAAAAGAACAAAATTTTTTTAGTCCGACTGAAAAATTTTGTTTGCTAAGGAGAACTAAAACTTTAACTATTCAAAATTTTTATTTTAAAATTAAAGATAAAAAAATTAAATTTTTAAATTAAAGATAAAAAAATAAAAGATAAAGATAAAATTTCCTTTTTTCTTCTAAGACAGATGTAAAACTTTTTAGAAAAATTAAGTCTTTTATAAATGCCATTTTACAAATATTTTTGATGTTTTATGTTTAAGTTTTAAAGTCAGAATTACAACTTAATGTAAGGCATTGTTTTAACTCTACAGTTACATACCAATTATGTGGTGATCGGCGGGTCAGGGCAATAACATCCGTTTTTGCCATGTATAACAACATCGGTGAAATAACATCCGAAATTTCATTGATGTATAATAACATCTGTGCAATAACATCCCAAATTTCATTGATGTATAATAACATCCTTGCAACTACATCTGTAGATTTTACTGATGTAACTACATCCGATTTTTTTTTTTTAAAGTACAATTTTAACCAGATGTAGTTACGCATCTGATTTTTTTCGGATGTAACTACATCCGCCAAAAAAAAATTATTATAATGCATTATCTTAAGCATAATAATTTTTTTTTTCAATTATTTGATAGACTGCTTGCCCAAACCTAACCCTCAGTCGATGTAGCAACACTCCGTTGCAAGTCAGGCTATTTGTCAGTCGATGTAGCAGCACTTATATAATATAATAATTATATATGCAACTTATAAATGTAACTACATCCGAAATTTTTTTTAATAATGCATTATTTTAATCAGATGTAGTTACACATTATTTTTGGCTGTAACTACGTCCGAAAATTTATTTTATTTAATAATGCATTATTTTAGGCGGATGTAGTTACAAATCGGGAAAAAATCTCGGATGTAGTAAAATCTTTCTAAAGATGTTATTAGACATCAATGAAATTTCGCATGTTGTTGCACAGATGTTAATTCAGTAAAGAAAAAAAGCGGATGTTCTTACACAAAAATGTGCGGATGTTATTTCACTACTCCACGAATATTGTTGGACAGATGTAGTAATCTTTTCCTGTGATCGGCTACACAAAAAATAATTAAAATTGAAACTAAATGGTTTTAAGGGTTGAATGTTTTAATTTAAAAAAAAGTATTTTTATTGTACAAGCAATTTTTTTTAACTTGAAATATTTTTTTAATACTTAAAAAACCAGAAGGAGAAAATCTTAGCTTTTCAAAGCTACAATCTATCTTTCACACAAATCAGTATTCTTATGAGAAAATTTCTTTCAATTAGATTGCAAACTTTTTCATGACCGCTGCAATTAAATAAACCCCAATACAATTTTAATTTATTATGATTGTTAATAGCAATTTATGTGATGTAATAATCAGGGTTGGGGTCAAATACATATTTGTATTTGTATTTGGTAAAAATAGGCTAATTTGGTGTATTTGTATTCGTATTGTATTTGACCAAAAAATTTTAAAAATATTTGTATTTGTATTTGAATGAAATGTATTTGTAATTCCATAAACTAGGTTAACTGGTGTTTTTTTGAGAAATACCAGTTAACCTAGTTTCCTAATTTTTCTATTTTTAACACTAAAATAAATTTGAAATTTGTTTTTAAGGGTTATTTATTAGAAGACTTGTTTTCATACTTCTATTTAGTAGACTAATTTATCAGTCTTGTCTTGAAAAAATCTTTCTTAACCTAAAGTAAAAATATTTGTATTTGTATTAGTATTGGAAAATACTAATTTAATTTGTGGAGCCATAAAAAAAAAGTGTATAAAAATTTATTTATTAATCATTTTTATAATATAGTAAAAAAAAAACATTTTTTCAAAAGGGCCTTCTAAGATAAATAAATTAAGGCCCATGCAAGATTTCGGCATGGCCTCTTATACGAGTTAAAATTACATTTAATGTTAATAAATTGTTATTAAATAAATATTAGTATGATTATTTAAAAAATGGTCTAATTAAAGTTATTTTTTTATTAAAAAAAAGTTGAATGAAAAATAAAATGAAATATTTTTTTAATATTAACAAGAATAAAAACCTGATTTAACTTTTTAGCATCATTTACTTTAGCTGCTCCTTTTGCACGAAGTGTCTGAAACATTTTAAATTAAAAAAACCATTTTAAAATGTAAATAAAGTTTATTTTCCAAGACTTTAAAAATATAATTATTAAAATTGATATTATAAACTATACAAAACAATATATAAAATTATTGAAAAATTAAAAAATAATAATAATAAAATATAGACTTACATCTACAGTATGTCTTGAATGATCATAATCTACAAGCTTCCTTGCTCTTTTTTGAATTTTTGTCTGAACTCAAAAAAAAATTATTTATTATGAACATTAAATTCTCTAAACTATTTACAAGTATTAAATAATAATACAATCAACTTAACATTGAGTTACAACCCATTACATCAGCATATGTGAGGTAATTTTACACTTTTGTCTCTAATAGTATGATACTCAACTGTAAAACTCTAATAGTATGATACTCAACTGTAAAACTCTAATAACATGATACTCAACAGTAAAACTCTAATAGCATGATACTCTACCTAAACTCGTAGAGTAAATAGTACTTAACTGTAAAAAGATTATGCTTAATTAATCTTTTGATGGAATTTATATATATTTTTTTTGACTCTCAGTAAATTTTTTCACTTCTCTGTACAGATTAAGTTTATTTCACTTCTCTGTACAGTTTATTATTTTGAGTTGCCAAAAACAAACTATAGTTTTTTAACAATTTGTTAAGAAAAAAGTAAAGTTTAAACTAAAAAAAAAAAATTTTTTCTAGCTGGTGATATAGATATTGATTTACAAAAGAAAATTGCAATTAAAAAGACAGGTAATAGAAATATAATTTAAAAAAATAAAATACTTTTACTTCTTTCTTTGAAGGTGATTCGTATACTATTTTATTATAAAATGAAATAATTGTCTGCCTCTATTTTATGTTTATAATTTATTTTATACTTTATTTTATAAAAAAAAAACTATTACATTTTTTTAGCAATTCATGATCTCAAACTTTTGAGATTATTAAACAAATTAAGCAAATGTAAATAAGTATTTAAAAAAATAAATAATTCAATAAACGAAAAAAAAAAGGTATTTATTTTAAAAAATTATCAGAATTCAGCAACTGGAGTTTTGATAATGCCAGGAGATGCATGAATGACAATTTGACAATATTACTGATAGAGATTTTTGAAATAAATGTTCCACTTAAGATCATTTTGTAATATCGTCAACTGCCAGCAACAATTACTGATGAACTCTTGGAACACTCTATGGACAAATCAATCAAGGTTTTGCATTGTAACATGCATTTTTGCACTTAACTACCAGCTTAGCAAATTATTCACTTCTTCTTGTAAGTTATCAAACTCCTTGCAACCAACATAATGTAATAGTATAGAATCGTCAATGAGCAAAAATATACACACAGATATATATATATATATATATATATATATATATATATTTATATATATATATATATATATATATATATATATATATATATATATATATATATATATATATATGTATATATATACACACATATATATATATATATATGTATATATATATATATATATATATATATATATATATATATATATATATATATATATATATATATATATATATATATATATATATATATATATATATGTATATATATATATATGTGTGTATATATATATATATATATATATATATATATATATATATATATACATACATACATATATATATATATATATATATATATTTATATATATATATATATATATATATATATATATATATATATATATATATATATATATATATATATATGTATATATATATATATATAACCTAGAAAAATTTTTTCTGAACTTTGATTTTAAGCATTTTTATTAATTCTTAACACTTAAAATTTATGTGAAAACAAAAAGTTATTAACTTTCAATTTACATGATATTTATGCTAATATTTCATATCTTTTTTTGTAGTCTTATAAACTAAAATTTAGTTTTTCTAGCCTTATAAGCTAAAATTTAGTTTTTCTAGCCTTAAAAACTAAAATTAAGCTGAAATCAAAATCTTTATTCTAGTTTGTACTAAAACTGTAATTTCAGTTCCAGTCAATATTTTGGCTAAAATAAAAAGCAAACAAAATGCTAGCCCATCACTACAAGCAAGTACAAAACACCAACACTCTTCCACCAACATCATAGTAGCAGTGTAGCAGTAATCCAACCAACTAATTGTTAATATCATACTCAACCCGTTTATCCACACAGCCTTGTGTGTCAGGGTTTTTATTTCAAGGCTTTAGTGTCAAGAAAGGGTGGTAATAATGGTTAAAAAAAGTAAGAAGCTTTTTTAACTATAGGAACCCCTCAACCATTATGAGATAAGCACAATTAAAAAAAAAAAATTATTTTATAAAAAAAATTATTTCAATTTAAAAAGTTATTTTTTTTTAATATATCATTCACCTTGACTTCTAAAAATGGTTTTTGATATGATGTTAAAGGTTCTAACACTTCCTCTGTTAGTCTTTTACTTAAATTTGTCCAGTTTGAGTTTGCACTCTAAACAATACATAAAATTTCATTTATACAATACGATTTTAAAAAGCTGAGCAATTATTCAATTGATCTTAAATGTAGAATAATATGCTGTTAAGACTCAGGTAATAATAAGGTAAATACAATAAAATATAAGGTAAAAACAATAATAAAAATGAATATTTAATGAGTTTATTTAGTACCTCAAATAACTCAAATGCAGCTTCTCTTGAACTCCACTCTGGTTCGTAAACATTTTTCATAGCTGCTGAAAAATTCTCAGCAGCAACCTGCATGGCTATTAAAAAGAACGTTTTATTAAATCTAGTTATTTTCTACTTATATACTTTATATAATTTATTTCAAAATACTGATTATATATAATATGCCCTTGAAATTAGAAAAAAATGAGGTCGCTAATAAATTGCTGACATTAAACTGTTTATTAGCTAGTTAGTACATTAGCTAATATAAACTAAAGCGTGAGATTGAAAAAAATAAGAAAGGAAAATCTTTTCAAAAATATTTAAAATAACTTTTTTTTACAAATTTCGATTTATTCAAAGTTAAGAAATTAAAGAGTAAAAAAATTTTAGTTTCAAAATTTTTCTTTCTAAAAAATATTCCTACATTACAGGTGATTGTGTCCATTAATTTCTGCACAACTGTTAGTCATTTTCTTGCTTATGGTTGACCATGCCTTCAGCAATTCTTGTACTGAATTGATAGTCTTGCCCTTTTTACGCAAATACCCTTTGCAATCAAATGAGTGGTAAAAGTCACTTTTGAAGGAACTCTTGAACATAAAATTCTGAAGTCAAAGTTGATGATGTCACAAAAGCTCTACTCTTCCACAACTACAAACTGCTTGCCATAAGAGTAACTTTTTGCCATATTTATCCACAAGTTTGTATTTATACTTATTGCTTACACTGGCACAAACAATTGAAGTATAATATTTGTCATCAAGAAGTTGACTGAAATCACCTACTTACTAATTTGACTAAAGTCACATACTTGACAAAAGTCATATTGAATGGCACCATTTATGTATGTCTTGCCATTCATGAAGCCATTCAATTTTGTCAAAACTTGGCTGTAAAGTTTTCAAGCTCATGTTTTGACAGTGGAATTTTGTTTGTCAGAACGAAAAACTGTTTGTCAGAACGAAACGTTGGAAAAGCTTTGTAGTATTTCTTTATTGTTTTTACCAAAAATGCGAGAAACTTTTTTTAAATCTTTCTTGTTAGACAAGCCTGTTTTTTTTTCAAAAGAATCTTATTTACCACTGATTTATTGTTAAAAAAAATTTTCCTCCTCATCCTTTAGCTCGTTCGATGGATAAAGTCTTCCTATATTCTTATAATTCTAGTAGCTTTAAAGACTCATTTGTAGTACCATGATGGATTTTCTTCATGAATGTGAAAGATTTTTTTCCATTTTTCAAATTGCTTTGATGGCATTTTAATAAAGTATAATATGCATTTTTTTTTTTAAATGTTTTTGACAACTACTATCATTGCTTGATTAAAATATTATTGTTTTTTTTTTCTCTCATTTTTTCTCATTTTAACTCTTTCTTGTTGGTTTTTTTTTCATAAGAATCTTATTTACCACTGATAAAGTGGTAAATAAGATTTATTTAATAAAGTATAATATGCATTTTAATAAAGTTTTTTTTTTTTAATGTTTTTTGACAACTACTATCATTGCTTGATTAAAATATTATTGTTTTTTTTTTTTTAATCTCATGCTTTATGTTTAAAAATTTATGATTGTGAACCTAAATTAATTTCAGATAATTAAATAAGACATTAATTTAGCTTCAAATAGAATAAGGAAATGCTTTTTTTCTGTTTTGTTTTAAGCATTAAAAATATTTTTTCGGGAAATAGGAAATAAAAGAATGCCTTCATAAAACCATCATCTTTTATTAACACGACATAATAAAATTCCATGTACTTGTGCTGAAGTAACATTTGCCAAGAACTGGTCACAATAAATACTGCACTTTAAAAATAAATAAAAAAACTCTACACTGTGTTTTGAAAATAAAACCATTTTTAGACATAAAAAAATATAGGGATATACCTCGTTTATCAAATAATTGTATACAATGTCTGCTAGGTCCTTAAATACCTAAGACAAACCATAAGTTTTCAAAACACATTATTTTTTAAAAAACAGAACATACCATGTTTTGAAAATAAATGCCTAATATATGTGTGCATTTTTATATACATATATATATATATATATATATATATATATATATATATATATATATATATATATATATATATATATATATACACATGTATGTATGTGTGCGTGTGTGTTTATATATATATACATCTAATTCCTGATAACTCATACCTTCAAGGGACCAAGGAAATTGGGTCGACTTAAAAAATGTTCAACTAAAGCAAATTCCCAATAAGTTGAACTGGCTGAAATGAGATATTAGTTCCACTTAAGCATGGCAGATGCCACCACTGGGGCTAGGGGGCACATTTCCACTTTTTTTCAAAAGGATTTTTTTTTTTAAATTAAGAAATTTCATGATATAGAGGACATTTTTAGAGAAACTGACAATTGTGTCCAACCCCCACCCACCACTTTGAAACTCATGTTGTTGGTCCTGTTAAGGTAATTCTTCTTTATTCAATGCTAAAGTATAAACATAAATATACACCATTAAATAAAAGTGTGAAAAATGTTTTCAGTGAAAGAAGTTATGTATTGTATTTATGCTGTACACTTAAAAGATAGCATTCAAAGTTTAGCAACACAATGACTTCTTTATTGTTTGATAATAAAATTTTGTTAAGAAATTCATTAAAACCAAAACTTTTTTATAATAGTTTTATTATAGCTTTATTTTAGGTCTGGTAATGATCTATTTTATTAATACTGAGGGTTACTGCGTACTTCCTGTGCACAGGCGTGTTAGAAGCAACTATCTGCTTTCAACTTGTTCTTTATGCAAAACTAAAAAGAAAAAAATGCTAAAACTGGGGCTGATACCCATGACACCTAACTTATTACAGTCAAAAAAAATTATTTTAAATTTAAAAATATGTTATACAAAAGATCTTGTTAAAGGGATCTTAAACTCCTAACACATGTTGTGTTCATATTAAAGATAATGTTGAAAAAAGGTTTGAACCAAGTTTTTTTGAATAAAAATAAATAATAAATGCATACCAAGAAATACTAATCTTTTTGTTTTAGCTGAAGCTTGTCTTCTCCATTTTACTCAAAAACTAGGAGTCTTTAAATTATATGTTGCAATCTACAGACTTCTGCAATTCCTTTGAAGCGCGTTTAATTCATAAAAGTTTTAGTATTTGAAGTCACGGTAGACTTTTGACAAATGAAACTCTGGAAAAATTTTTATTTTTGTTCATAAATTTTTTCATTATTTGTTTAGTTATTTATTTTTTACTTAACATTTAAAAAGTTATTAAAAACCTTAATACTTTATGCTGGTTAGTTGCTATAAATTGTTATTGTGCTATATTAATGTTAATAAATGATGAATATTTATCATCTCAATCAAGACTGTGATAAAAAATTGTTTTATATTAATTACCCGTATAAAATTAGTAACAGCATTTTTATTTGGTTAGACAATATTTCGTCTAAATTTGCTTTGCATGAAGTTAGGGGAGCCAAACAAAAAATTTAGTTTAAATAATCATGTTAAAATATATTTAAAAACAAATAATTTTAATGACGCTATTTCTAAAGTTTTTTTTATGACAAATGTAGGTAAAAAATAAATAACTAAATAAAAAGTTCAACATTAAACATCTTTTTTTTATTATATTGCAACTGTTTATATTGAAATACTAACTTGAACTAAATTTACTTATTATTTAGAACAATTAAGCAATAAAAATAAGAAGCCTCTAAAATTATGCGATATTGTGTTGTTTCTTTGATTATAGTTGTTGGTAATGTTGTTTATGTTGATTATTTTCATCAATATCAAAATAGTACCAGATTAAACTTTTAGTTGCTTTGCTCATTGTTGATTTATTTCTAATTTAATTTTATCTCTAAGTTTAATTCTATGTTAAGAAAGAAAAAGTTTTATTTCATTGTACGCTCTTTTTATAAAAGAGTAGAACAAAAGAGAAAGAAAAGTTTCACGTAATTAAACTTTGAGTGAATAAGAGTTGTATAGAATATATATATATTTTTTTGCATTACTCGTTCATTTTTTAGATGAGAGAAATAAAAGTTTAATTGTTTAAAAAAATAATAATATTTAATAACTTTTCTTTGAATAAATGAGAATTGGACAAGAAAATTGCTTGAAAACTTGTATTTTTCAATTTTGTTAGTTTTTTAATTTTCCATGTTAAGAGACAAATGCCAAATACGACACATAAATTGGGAAATACCAAATATAATATGTTTTTTAACACGCATTACAACATTTTAAATTACCATCTATCTTGAATTACTGCCAATTAATGTGTTAATTATTGCAATAATTAATAATAATTTGTATTTGTTAACTCTGTTTTTAAAATTTTTTAAATTTTTCATGTTAAGAGACAAATGCTAAATACAACACAAATTGAGAAATACCAAATATAATATGTTTTTTAATGCGCGTTATGACATTTTGACAATTTAAATTACCATTTATCTTGAATTATTGCCATTAATTAATGTGTTAATTATTGCGTTATTTAATAATAATTTGTCCGTATTTTTGTTAAATATTAGTTTCATAAGACGAGCAAAAATATATGTACTTCATGTTCTTAATTTGATGGTTATAAAATATTGAACAGTAAACTTATAATCGAAATTTATAATGCCGACTTGTACTGCTAAAATATTAGTTTAATATTAGTTTTATAAAACAGGCAAAAATATATGTACTTCATGTTTTTAATTTGATGGTTATAAAATATTGAACAGTAAACTTATAATCAAACTTTATAATGCCGACTGTACTGCTATTAATTGTTATTTAAAAAAAGTTTTTTAATTTTTTTATAAAAAGTGTTAAAGATTCTTGTTTAATTGAACAAAAAAGTTCGCTTATTGTTAAAAACAAAATAATCTCTTTTCACATATCTTTAATTGCATTTTTTCAATTGAGATAAAATGTTAAAGTTATACTTCAATTAAAAAACTCATTTTTTCATGTTAACTTACATCATTCTGTCGCAAATTTCTACAAACAAAGAATGGTGATTTGTGAATGAGACTTTTTTATATAAAACGTTTACAGCAAACATTTAACAAAATTAAATAAAATTTTATTTATTTATA